GGGTCCCACAGTTTGTCCGTGGGCTTGGGGGGTGTTTCCCACCCTCTTCTCTCTATAGGACCCCCTATGGGCACCCCTGGGTCTATGGGGGGACCCCCAAATTTGGGACGGGGGTCCCACGGTTCGTCCGTGGGCGTGGGGGGTTTCCCACCCTCTTCTCTCCACGGGACCCTGCCGGCACCCCTGGGTTTATGGGGGGTCCCCTCAGGTTGGATGGGTCCCTCAAATTTGGGGTGGGGAAGTCCCCAAATTTGTCCATGGATGTCCTCCCCATTCCAAGGTGTTTCCCACCCCCTTCTCCCCATAGGACCCCCATCGGCACCCCTGGGACTATAGGGGGTCCCCTCAGTGGGGTGAGTCCCCCAAATTTGGGGTGGGGAGGTCCCCAAATTGTCCATCGATTTTGGTGGGGGGGTGTTTCCCATCTTCTTCTCCCTATAGGACCTCCTACGGGCACCCCTGGGACTATGGGGGGGTCCCCTCAGTGGGGTGGGTCCATCGATTTGGGGTGGTGTTTCCTACCCTCTTCTTCCCATTGGACCCCCTTGGGCACCCCTGGGACTAGGGGGGGTCCCCCAAATTTGGGATGGGGGTCCCACAGTTTGTCTGTGGGCTTGGGGGGTGTTTCCCACCCTCTTCTCCTTATAGGACCTCCTATGGGCACCCCTGGGACTATGGGGCCGTCCCCTTAGTGGGGTGGGTCCATTGATTTAGGGGGGTGTTTCCCACCCTCTTCTCCCTGTAGGACCCCCTTGAGCACCCCTGGGACTATGGGGGGGTCCTCCAAATTTAGGAGGGGGTTCCCATAGTTCGTCCGTGGGCTTGGGGGGGTTTCCCACCCTCTTCTTCCCATTGGAACCCCTATGGGCACCCCTGGGACTATGGGGGGGTCCCCTCAGTGGGATTGGTCCCCCAAATTTGGGGTGGGGGGGTCCCAAAATTTGTCCCTGGATCTGAAGGGCTTCTCCCAACCTTCTTCTCCCCACAGGACCCCCCCATTCCCACGATGCTGCCCTGGAGCTCCCGGGCTCTGCTGCTCCTCTGCGCCGGGATTTTGGGGGGGCTGGGCCTCGCTGCCCCCTCAGAGGAGGTGGGGACCCTCCACTAGGGAACTGGGGACCCCCTCAAGACACCACGGGTGACAACCAGTGCCAGGATGAAGCCCCAGCCCGGGAGGTGTCACCCCTGGACTCCTGTCACCATCCAGGGTGGGACCCCCCCCGGCTGGGAAATGGGGGTCCCCGGGACCCCCCCACCCCAGGCCTCGCCTTGCTCGGTGTTGGGGTGGTTTTTGGGGTGTGAAGGTCAAGTTCTGGGGTGGTTCTCACACTCTTTTTCGTATTTTTCACCCCAAATTCCCCCCTCTCTGGGCCCCCACCCTGCGCTGGGAGCACCCCGGGGGGCTGAGGGCTCATTTTGGGGTGTCCGTGGGTACCTCCCTGGGGGGTGGGGGGGGTTTGGGGTCATCCCCCCTTCACCAACTTCCTGAATATTCCCCACAGGAAGAGCTGGAGGAGACCTGGATGAGGCTGGCGCTGGATGAGACCCCCGTGGTCCAGCTCGTGGAGGACGTCGCCCACCAGATGGGTACGAGCTGGCTCGGGAATGCTGAGACATCCCCCACCTTGGGATTGATCCAAGGATGTTGAGAATCCCCCTGTCCCACCTTGGGATTGATCCAGAGATGTTGAGAATCCCCCTGTCCCACCTTGGGNGATGTTGAGAATCCCCCTGTCCCACCTTGGGATTGATCCAGAGATGTTGAGAATCCCCCTGTCCCACCTTGGGGCTGATCCAGGGATGCTGAGACAACCCCTGCCTTGGGATTCATCCAAGGAATTCTGAGACATCCCCATATCCCACCTTGGGATTGATCCAGGGATGCTGAAAATCGCCCTGAGTTTGGGATTGATCCAAGGATGCTGAGACATCCCCCTGTCCCACCTTGGGATTGATCCAAGGATGCTGAGAATTCCCCATATCCCACCTTGGGATTGATCCAAGGGTGCTGAGACATCCCCATATCCCACCTTGGGATTGATCCAAAGATGTTGAGAATTCCCCATAATATCCCACTCTGGGATTAATCCAGACATGCTGAGACATCCCCTGTCCCACTTTGGGATTGATCCAAGGATGCTGAGAATTCCCCATATCCCACTTTGAGATTAATCCAAAGATGCTGAGACGTCCCCATATCCCACCTTGGGATTGATCCAAAGATGTTGAGAATTCCCCATAATGTCCCACTTTGGGATTAATCCGGACATGCTGAGACATCCCCTTGTCCCACTTTGGGATTGATCCAAGGATGCTGAGACATCCCCATATCCCACCTTGGGGTTGATCCAGGGATGCTGAAACATCCCCTGCCTCAGGATTCATCCAAGGAATTCTGAGACATCCCCATATCCCACCTTGGGATTGATCCAAGGATGCTGAGACATCCC